TATTTAACCGTTTTCATTTTTTTTAAAAAGTGACTGTCAATTTTTTTATGAATTAAAGAGTGAACGAATGAATATTAAAGCTATTGATAAATATTTACATGCATAAATTAAATCAAAGAAAACCAAAGATGGGTCTATGATGGAGCTTCGTGGCAAGGTTTATGAAGTAACCAATTTCAGTATGATTTTTTTAAAGGTTTTAAGATTTTACACTCACTTTCTTAAGTATCTAATTTTCCATCCTAGGTTGGCACCACAGTTTATAAGCATTCTTCTGTGGAAAAGAACTAAGTTGTTAAATCAATGAAACAACTCCGAGAAAGATGTAAGGTACAGTCTTTGGATGGGGGGTAGATAGTAGGCTCATGGTTGTACTGACATCTTTTTTTCTTTTTTAATTTTATGTTTTCTTTAAAGAATGTACAAGTTAATGAAAAAGTATGGAGGTTTCTCAAAAGATTAAAAATAGAACTACCCTATGATCCAGCAATTATTCTTCTAGGTATTTACCCAAAGGTTACAGAAATGCTGATTCAAAGAAGCACATGCACCCCGATGTTTATAGCATCATTATCTACAACAGCCAAAATATGGAAAGAGACCAAATGTCCATCGACTGATGTATGGATAAAGAAGTTGTGGTATATATACACAATGGAATAAAAAAGCCGTAAAAAAGAATGAAATCTTGGGGCGCCTGGGTGGCTCAGTTGGTTAAGCGACTGCCTTCGGCTCGGGTCGTGGTCCCAGAGTCCTGGGATCGAGCCCCGCATCAGGCTCCCGGCTCAGTGGGGGGCCTGCTTCTCCCTCTGACCCTCTCCCCTCTCGTGCTGTTTCTCTCTCTCTCACTCTCTAATAAATAAATAAATAAAATCTTTAAAAATAAAAAGAATGAAATCTTGCCATTTGCAATGACAGGGATAGAGCTAGAGAGTATTATGCTGAGTGAAATAAATCAGTCAGAGAAAGAAAAATACCATATGATTTCACACATATTGGAATTTAGGAAATGAAACAGATGAACATGGGGGAAAAAAGACAGAGGTAAACCAGTAAACAGACTCTTAACTCTCTAAGACAAACTGAGGGTTGTTAGAGGGGAGGTGGGTTGGGGGGATGGGCTAAATGGGGGATGGGTATTAAGGAAGGCACTTGTGATGAGCACTGGGTTGTTTTTTTTTTTTTTTTAAAGATTTTATTTATTTACTTATTTAACAGAGATTGAGAGATAGCGTAAGTAGGCAGAGCGGCAGACAGAGGGAGAGGGAGAAGCAGGCTCTCTGCCGAGCAGGGAGCCCAATGCAGGGCTCGATCCCAGGACCCTGGGATCATGACCCAAGCCGAAGGCAGTCGTTTAACCAACTGAGCCACCCAGGCGACCTGAGCCCTGGGTGTTACATGTAAGTGGTGAATCAGTAAATTCTACTCCTGAAACTAATATTACACTATATGTTAACTAACTGGAATTTAAATAAAAACTTGAAAAAAAAGAGCCAAGCAAGGACCCATGATGTGAATGGAATGCATTCTGAATGTGTCTTGTGATTAATTCATTTCTTCATTACTGAAGTTCATTTCAAAAGGAAATTTGGTGTATTACATCTGTGGGAATAAGGCGATAGCTAGACTTGAGTAATGTGGAAGAATCTAATTATGTGGTTAAATGGCTCCTGGGAATTTAGTACATTGTTCTAGGGGAATAAATTAAAAAATCAGTAGATGATAAATAAGTAGATAGATGATAGATAAGTAGATAGAGGGATAAATAGATAAATGATGGTAGGTAGATAAAGAAAGTAATTAATGCTGGATTAATTAAGAGAAAATGTTGTGAGGCTGAAATTTTTGTTCATACAGTTGGGAAACCTTGCCGTGCATTAAGAATTCAGTAGGTTAAAAGTGTTACCTCTCTGGGTTAGGTGACTATAGAGCAGTGGTTCTCAAACTTGAGTGAGCACCACAATCCCCTGAAGGCTGGTTAAACTGTAGGTTGCTGGCCCCATCCTCAGCATTTCTTTGATTATATTTAATACTTTTTAAAAAGTTTTTATTTCAATTCCAGTTAGTTCGCATACAGTGTACTATCAGTGCCAGGTGTACAGTACAGTGATTCGACACTTGCATATAACACCCAGTGATCATCACAAGTGTGCTCCCTCGTCCCTGTCACCTGTTCCCCCAATCCTCCTGCCCACCTCCACTACTTGGGATGATTTTAAAAATAGATCAAGTCCATGTCACTCATTTTTATAGCTCTGTAAATTTCTTTTTTTTTTTTTTTAAAGATTTTATTTATTTATTTGAGAGAGAGAGAGAATGAGAGATAGAGAGCACGAGAGGGAAGAGGGTCAGAGGGAGAAGCAGACTCCCCGCTGAGCAGGGAGCCCGATGCGGGACTCGATCCCGGGACTCCAGGATCATGACCTGAGCCGAAGGCAGTCGCTTAACCAACTGAGCCACCCAGGCGCCCTAGCTCTGTAAATTTCTATTTCACTTTTTCTCTAGACATTCCTTAACTGATAAAGATGTAAACTACCTTTATTATGAGGCAGAAGCACGTAGGAGATGTTAAGTGGTAGTCAGTGTTTTAGTTCTGATGCGAGTGGTGACTATATATAAAAAGAATATACCAATTATCTGAAAGAAGGCAAACCGTGGACCAGTGATGTGAATGGAATGCATCCTGAACTATCTTTTATGATCAAAATATCTATGATCTATTGAGGTCCATTACAAAGAGGGATTTAAGTGTTTATCTGTGGGACTGAGCCTATAGATTTCAGTAATATTCAAGGATCATGTTCTTAGCCTTTGGTGCTTCATGGATTTGATTTTATTATCATAATTAATAAATGAGAGAAACAAATAGGTCAGTTCATAAAGAGGAAAAGGGTGTAGCATATTCAGCTATGAAAATATGTGGTGAGGCAAGAATTACTATTAATATAACTTCGGACAAGTGGAATTCGTTAATAAATGGATCGGAGGTTACATTTTGGGGTAAGGATGATACAGATTGTGATACGGAATAGTATGTATGCTTGCTTTTTTTTGGTTTTATTTAAATTCAAGTTAGTTAACATATAGTGTATTATTAATTTTGGGGTAGAATTTAGTGATTCATCTGTTAATATAACACCCAGTGCTCATTACATCAAAGTGCCCTCCTTAATGTCCATCACCCAATTACTCCATCCCCCTATCCACCTCCCGTCCAGCAACCCTCAGTTTGTTCTCCATAGTTGAGAGAGATGGTGTACGAGTCATGGAGAATGGAAAATAAATATCTAAAACTCTGAGATCCAACACAATACATAATTAGTCCAATCCCTCTTTTAGAAATGATCTTATGGGCAGATGTCAGAAATATATAAAGGTCATATTCTCTTTGTGGCTTTATAGATTTAAATTTATTATCATCAATGGATCAGTGTTAGAACCATTTAAGAAATATGAATAAATAAAGAGAATATGAAGCACTGTCCAGTTATGAACGTATGTTGTGAGGCAGGACATATTATTAATAAAAATTAAAAACACCAATGCCTATTAAGAAATAAATGGATCAAGGGTGTTACTTCTTTGGCTAAAAATTATGTAGACACGGGTAATTAAAAATCAATTATTTTTAAATTCTGAATCAGTTCCACGTTCAAGCTTCTTCCCTTTGTTAGTAGGAAAGAAAAATAATGAAAAATTAACACACATGTAAAACATTGAGTAAATGTCATGTGGAAAGGAAGGGTAAATGTAGATCAGGTCTTCATTTTCTTTATCCACTGCTCTGCCCTGTACTCCTCAGAATGGACGCACTTGGGCTGATGTAAGCATCTTCCATGGTCTTGAGCTCTGTGCCTGCATTTATGCGTTAGGAGCGCAGAGACCAACGTGAGTAATAGTCAAAGTTCTTGTGTTGAGTTGGGTGGTTTGCTTAAGAATATTCACTGTATCATTAGTGTGAATTAATAAACAACTTAGAAGTGAACAAAGAGAAAGAGGACCAATCCTGGACCGATGATGATGACTGGTGGCGTATGAGTCATGGATGATGATGGATAACATGTGTCTGAAACTCTGAGGTCCAACGAAACACGATGGTGCATTCTCTTTGTTTGGAAGGATGCTATAGGTAGAAGTCAGGAATTTACAGAGATCTTGTTTTTGGTCTCTGTGTTTGTTCATGGATTTTTAACTGGAGCATTGAAATAGTCACTAAACAAATATGTATAAATATAAATAAAGAGAAAAAATAAAGAGGAATATGGAAAAACATGCTCTAATTATAAAAATATGTGGTAAGGTGAGAAATGGTATTAATAAATTTGAACACAGTGTGGAATCCAAAGACGAATAAATGGTTACATGACTTAAATCTTTGGCTGAGGATGATATAGACAAAATAAATAATAATCGATGTTAATTTTCTGGGTTGGGGAAAAGGTCTTAAGTTGTTCATTTTCTTAAAAGAAAATGAAATAAATATAGTATACTCCTAATTAATGATTGCCTAAATCACTGAAAAGTGAAATGCAGAAGAAAGGATCAATGAAGATGAGGTCGCAATTTGTTATCATCCTCTCTGCTCTCTACTCCTCAGAGCGGGCGCCCTCAAGCTCATTAAAGCACCTTCACGTGGCAGAGCTCTGTGGCTGCATCTGTGTCTTAGGAGCATAGAGAACAATGTGAGTAATGGTCGGTGTTCTTATCTTGGATGGAATGTTTTGTTTTGTTTTGTTTTAATTACTCTATTATTAAAAAGTGTTTGATGTAATCAAGAAGCCCAAACATACCAATATCAAATATGTTGTTAATCCATATGTGAAACCCTGAGTTCAGTTAATGAAAGAGTTTGTGCCTAGTGGAAATGATTGTATGAATAGATGTTAGGGATATTCAAGGATTTCATTTGTGATTTTTTTTTTGGTGACTTATGTTTATTTCTATATTAGGCAATTAATCAATAAACAGATGCAGATGACAATAGAAAAAAGAGCCAGTGCTGGACCAGTGATGGCAACTGATGGCATAGGAGTCACGTGTAGTGAATACTATGTGTCTGGAACTCTTGAGATCCAGCACAAAACAAATCCATTCCATGTTGTTGAAATGGTCCTATACAGATGTCAGGATATACAAGGTCTTCTTTTTGGTCTTGGTTTTTATTCATTTTAATTCTACAAATATAATCAGATCAGTCAAAATAACAATAAACATATTACCAAAAAAATGATGGGAGTAAATCATTGTCCAATTATAAAAATATGTGGTGAGGTATGAAATTCAATTAATATATGTTGCAAACACTGACAATTAATGAAAATAAATGATGTAAGCATGTTGCCCCTTTTGCCGAGTATGACATAGGCAGTAAGGAGTAGTAGTCAATGTTTATATTCTTTGTCAGTGGCCATATTGATGTGATTTGGTCCCTTAAGCGAAAATAAAATAGACATGATCCCAACTTACTAATTGCCTACTGACTGAATAAATAAAGATGGAATTAAGGGCCATTGGAGAGAATGCCTCAATCCTTTTGTTTTTGTTGTTGTTTTGCCCTTCTGTACTCCTCAGAATGGATGTGTTCCAGTTGATTTAAAATCTTCCATGGTCAGGAGCTCTATGGATTTAGGAGCATGGGGACCAGTGTGAGTAATATTCAATGTTCTTCTTGGCTCGGCCATTGTTTTATTTTTATTTATTTATTTTATTCAAGTTCAATTAGCCAAGTTACAGTACATCACTAGTTTTTGATATAATGTTCAATGATTCACTAATTGAGTATAACACCCAGTGCTGTTGTTTTGAAAAACATTTTTATTGTATTATTAAAAATTTATATTATATAATCATATAAAAATGAATGAAATTTTGCCATTGGGAATGACATGGATAGAGATAGAGAGTACTATGCTGAGTGAAGTAAGTCAGAGAAAGACAAATAACCATATGATTTCACTCATATGTGGAATTTAAGAAACAAAACAAAGGGGAAAGAGAGAGAGAGGGGCAAACCAAGAAACAGACTCTTAACTCCAGAGAATGAACAAACTGATGGTTACTAGTGGGGAGTTGGCGGGGAGGGTGGGGATGGCTAAACAAGGGGTGGGCATTAAGGAGCACACTTGTGATGAACACTGGGTGTTATTCTATGATAGAGACATTTTCTGGAGCTCTGAGGTCCAACACAAATGGAATCTGGTCCACTCTACTTGATGAAGGGAACCTATGGATGGATGTCAGGACTACATAAGCATTTAGTTCTTGGCCTTTGAGTTCATGAAGCCTTAAAATATTATTATAAAAGTATCAATGGAAGAATAAATAAACGTATAAATGACTAAATATAGAGAGAATGAAGCTTTGTTCATAAGCAAAATAAAATATATACTAAGGAAAATGCATATTAGTGTAAAGGAATGGATTAAAAAAGGACCAAGTGTATTTTGTATTTGACTAAGGGTGATTTACACAGTGGTAGGTAATAGTTATTACTCTCAGTCAGGTATCAACTTGAAGTTTATTTTATTAAGGGAAAAATTAATAAATATTACCAAAAATTAATAAATGCCCAAATGACTGTGCAAATGAGTGGTGGAAAATATAGAGACAATAACTCAGTCTTTTATCATATTGTCTACTTGTATCATATTTTATCATGTCTTCAGAGTGCATGCAATGAGCTGATTTTATCATCCACGGTGATTTAGATTGTTATGTTATCTTTGTGTTAGAAAAGAGACCAAGTTGAATAATGGCCAAAGACCTTACCTTGTTTTGGGTGACATATTTAAGAGCATTCATGGTATCATTTAAAAGTAATAAATAAAATCAAAAAGTTAACTCTGGCCTGACGAGAAATATGATATGAAATATTACTGTTGATTCATTGATAATGTGCAACATTGAGGTCGACTAATGAAAGATGTAATCTATGAGGTACATGATTCTACAAAGAGAAGTTAAGCTTATTTAGGGGTCTTTTTTGGGATTTTATGAATCACGTATTGATTTTTATTACCAATGAATTAACAATTTAATTGTTACTAATGTAGAAACATTTGAAGAAAAAGAGGCCCAAACATAGACCAATGATGAAAACTGGTGGCATAGGAATCCTCCCTGGTTGAGTGCTATATGTCTGTAACTCCGAGTCCACACAAAACAAAATGTAGCCTATTTTCTGTTGTAAATGACCTCAGGGTCAATGTAGAAATATACAAAGCTCATATTCTTATTTTGGGTTAATATACTTGGATTTATTATTATGAATGAATCAGTAATGAAAGCATTAAAAATGTAAAAAAACAGATAAATAGGGTGAAGCATTGTCCAGCCGGTAATATATGTTGTGATGTATAAGAAATGAACAAAAATGCTCATTAAGAAATAAATAGAATAAGCATTTTTGCCTTTTGCTTAAGAATTATATAGGCACTGATAAGTAAGAGCCTTTATTATTGTTATTGATCAGTCTCAAGTTTAAGCTTTCCTTTAGATAAAAGAAAAAATACCACATTATGAAAAATTGCGTGCTTAAATGAGTAAATGAAATGCAGTAAAGAAGGATCAATGGAGATAGGATCTGAAATTTTCTCTTGTCTGCTCTACTCCGTCCTCCTTAGAATGGATCTGTCATGCAGATTTAAGGATTCTTCCTTGGTCACGAGATCTCAGGCTGCATTCACCTGTTAGGTTCGTGGAGACCATGTGAGTAATAGTTGAAGTTTTGGTCTTAGTTTCAGTACTTTGTTTAATGTTCAGTGCATTATTAAAAACCGTGGAGTATAATCAGTGGACTCCAAATAGCCCACTGAGTGGGTTTCAATATATGAAACATTATACTGATTAATACATATAATATAAATGAAGAATAATTAATGAAGGTGATATAGACATGAGGATGGTTCTAAATAGATATTCGGAATTTCTAGGCCCTTTGTGCTTTCTGTGAATAATCATTTTTAAAATTGTAATTACTGAATTATGAATTGATCAGTAAATAATGTAGAAACAAAAGGTAAAAAAGAGGGACGATATTGGATCGATGATGACCACTGGTGGCGTATGAGTCGTGTACGATGAATACGTGTCTGGAACTCTGAGGTCCAACACAGATGGAATCTACTCCATTGTCCCTGTTTGATGTGGTCTAGAGGCAAAGGTCAGGAATATATAAAGACTGTGGTTTTGGTCATTATGTTATGAGTTTTCTTCCTATTTTTATAATTGGATCAATGAAATTATTAATACACAAATGTGTAAACAAATTTAAATGAAGAAGGTGAAGCCTTGTCCAATTCTGAAAATAGGTGGTTAGGCAAAAATTACTATAATATAGTAATATATTAATTATATTGAAAAGACTGATATCCATTAGGGAAGAGGTGGTATAATGGTGTTGTCTCTTTGGCTAAGGTTGATGGTATAGACTGTGTTAAGTATAGTGTTCATATTCTTTGGCAAGGGCAAGAGGGATATTGTTTGTTTACTTAATAGAAAATAAAATATACATTATCCCAAGTCACTACCTGCCTAAATGACTGACTGAATGAAAGGTGGAATACAGGAATGAATGAACCTAAGGTCTCAATCTTTTATCCCCTGCTCTGTCTTGTACTCCTTAGAATGGTCACCCTCGGCTGATTGAAGCAATCCACCGTAGTCATGAGCTCTGTGGTTGCATCTATGTGTGAAGAGCATGGAGCACAATGTGAGTAATAGTCAAAATTCTTTTCTTGGTTTTGTGGTTTTTCAGAAAGGTTTTCACTGCCTTATTAAAAAATTGTGAAGTATAATTTATGATTGCCAGCCATGGCCAAATAATTAGAATCAGGTTAATATGAAGCATTGTGTTAACCTATGTGGGAAACATTGAGGTCAGTTAATGAATGATATATATTATCAGTGGGAATTAATTCTGTAGATGAATATTAGAGATATTCAAGGGAATTGTTTTGAGTTTTTGTGACCCCCCCAGGTATTATTTTTAGTATTATTACTTAATTGATGAATTAATAAAAACATGTGGACATGATCAAGATAATGAGGGACATACCTGGATAAATGATGACAAGGGGTGGCATACGGGTCTTGGATGATGAACACCACAGGTCTTCAACTCTGGGGTCCAACACGAAAGAAATCTAGTCCTTTCTCCCCGTTTGAAGGGGTCCTATACACAGATGTCAGGCATATGTGAGGATCATGTTCTTGGTCTTTGTGTACATGAATGTTTTAAAAGTATCATTATAAAAAATAAATAGCATAAATATATAAATGAATAAATATGAAGAGGCTGAAGCATTGTTCATTGCTATAATATACAATAAATAAAATTATATTAATATGAATCAGAATGGAAAATAAAAGAATCAAGTGTATATGTCTGAGTAAGAATGATGGGAAGAATAAATAGTAATTACTGAGTCAGTTACAACTTTGACATTTGATTTGTTAAGGGGAAAATTACAATAATTTCATAAATGCCTAAATGACTGCAAGTGAATAGTGGGATATATGAATCAATGGAGAGAATATCTCAATATTTTTATCATCTTCTCTGCTTGTTACTCTTCAGAACAGATGCTTGAGCTGATGTCAGCTTCTGCCATGACCAAGATTGTGATGCTTCCTTTGAGTATGGAAAGAGACAAGGTGAATAATGGTCAAAATGGTTGTCTTGGAATGGGACATTTAAGGGTAATCATCGTATTGTTAAAAAGTATTAAATTAATAAGAAATTAACTGTGGCCTCATAATAAATGTGATAAGACACATAATGCTGATTAATCAGTAATGTACAAGATGGAGGTGATGCAGTCCCTTTGGATAATGATTCTATAAACTGATGTTAGGGATATTCAAGGATCTTATTTTTGGGTTCCTGTGAACCATGTATGATTTTTATAATTATCAATGAATTAATTATTTAATTGATACAAAAGTAGAAATGAACTAAGAAGAGACTCAGTCCTGGACCACTGATGATGACCAGTGGCATAGGAGTCATGGACCATGAAACTATGTGTCTGAAACTCTGAGGTCCAACACAGAATGGAATTTGGTCTGTTCCTTCTGTTGAAATTGATTGTACAGAGAGCTGTCAGGAATAAGTTCATATTCTTGTATTGTTTCATAGATGCAGACTTGTTATTCTTAATGGATCAATGATAGACCCATGAAGCAAATATAAATAAACACATAAGGAAGAATAGGGTGAGGAATTGTCCAAATATAAACCCAAGTAGCAAGGCAGAATATATTATTGCTAAAAATAGAAAACACTGATTGATACCCATTAAGAAATAAGTGGTTAAAAGGGTCATCTCTTTGACCATGGTTCTATAGGTATGCCTGAGTAGGAATCACCTTAATTGTTCTTCTTCAGACCAAAGATTGGATTTTTATAAGATGACAATACATATATAAAGAAACAGTAATAAATACCTAAATACTGGGTAAATGAAATGCAGAAAGCAAGGATCAATGCGGATTAGGTTTCAGGTTTTTTTTAATCATCTGCTCTGTTCTGTACTCTTCAGAATGAACTCACTGGAGATGATTCAGCACCTTCTATGGGCACGAGTTCTGTGGTTGCCTCTGTATAATAGGAGGATGGAGATTAATGTGAGTAACACTTGAAGTTCTTTTCTCAGTTTAAGTGGATTTTTTAAAGGTTATTCACTGTGTTATTAAAATGTGTAAAATATAATTAAAGAAGGCCACTGGATCTCAGTGTTAAATATGGAATGTATGAAACACATTGATTAATACATGTATGAAAGCTGGAGATATTAATGGGAGTTATATTGATGTGAGATTAATTCTGTGTATAGATTTGAGACTTACAGGCTCTTTTTTTAAATTGAAAATTATTAGTTAAATAATGATTTGATCAATAAACAAATAGAAATCTATGTAGTAAAAGAGGGATGATATTGGATCGATGATGACCACTGGTGGCGTATGAGTCGTGTACGATGAATACGTGTCTGGAACTCTGAGGTCCAACATAAAATTGGTCTAGTCCTCTGAAGACATCGGTTTGCTGTTGGTCTTGGTGTTTATGTATTTTTATTTTATTATTACAATTGGATAAATGTGAGAATCTATAAATAAATAAGGATGAATAGAGTAAATCATTGTCCAATTTTAAAAATATGTGGTGAGGCAAGAAATCCTATTAATCTATTATGGAAACCCTGAAGTTCAGTTAGAAATGAATGGTATTTGACTGTTACCTCTTACGGTAGGGATGATGTGGACAGTGTAAGTTATAGACAATATCCATATTCTGGCTCAGTAGCAAGATCAAAGTTGTTTGTTTTCTTAACAGACTAAATATATATACCCAATTAATGATTGCCTAGAGAGCTATGTGAATGTTGAAGTTGAGATCAATGGAGAGAATGTCTCAACCATTTTTATCACCTGCTTTGCTTTGTACTCCTTAGAAGAAACCCTGGACCTGATTTAAAGATTTTTCCTTGATCCTGACCTCTAGGGTTGCATCTATTTTAGGAGATTGGAGTCCAGTGTAAGCATAATCACATTTCTTTTCTTGGTTTGGGTTGCTTGTCTAAGGGTATTTACTATAGCAATCCAGTATTTGAAATATAATCAAAGAGGGCCATCTTTATCCTATTGAAAAATAAGAGATTTATAGGAAGCATGATATTGATTAATGCATGTGTGAAAAACTGATAAATGACAGAGATATAATGATGTAAAAAGAGATCTAGAAGCATATTAGGGATATCAAGGCCTTATTGGGGTTTGAAATAATGCAATTTAAATATTATAATTAGTAAATTATTAAGTTAGTCAATAAACAATATCAAAATGAATGAAGAGAAGCTGTCTTTTCTGGATCGGTGATGATAACTGCCGGCGTATGAATCACGGATGATGAGTAATACGTGTCTGAAACTCTGAGGTCCAACACAAAAGTGATGTGTTCCTTCTCTTCATGCATTTACTTTTCTTAATATAATTGAAAATGAAAGAATCAATAGACAAATATATGGATCAGTTGAGAGAAAAATCTCAATCTTTTTATCACTTTTTGTGTTTGGTGCTTTTCAGAATAGAAGCTCAAGGTGATTTCTACCTTTATTGTGATCAAGGTCACCATGTTTCCCTTTTATAGGAAAGAGACCAACGTGAGTAATGGTCAAAATTCTTTTCTTGGTTTGGGTCATTTGCTTAAGGGTTTTCATGGTATTATTAAAATGTAATAAATATAAGGAAAAATTAACTATGGCTCAATGATAAATATGATATAAAATATGTTGATTAATTGATAGTATGTAACATTTATTTTTATTAATGAAAGAGGTATGAACTATTTTGGCAATGATTCTGTAAGAAGAGGTTAGGGTATTCAAGTATCATATTCTTCAGTTTTTGTTAATTGTGTATTGATTTTATTATTACCAATGAAGTTATGATTTAATTGATACAAATATACAAGTGAATAAGCTAACCTCTAATGGAACCAGTGGTGATGACTGGTGGGGGATGAGTCGTGGACAATGTACAGTATGTATCTGGAACCCTGAGGTGCAATACAATAAGTATTCTATTTTCTCTGTTTATTGGATCCTATGGATAGATGTTAGGAATGTATAAATATTATGTTCTTATTTTGGATGAATTTATTTATTTATTTGTTCATTCATTCATTTACTTACTTACTTATTTACTTATTTTTAGAAGGAAAGGGCAGAGGTAGAGTGAGAGAGAGAATCCTAAGCAGGCTCCATGCTCAGTGCAGAGCCTGACATGGGGCTCAATCCCATGACACTGAGATCATTACCTGAGCTGAAATTAAGAGTTGGGTACTTAACTGAATGAGCCACCCAGGCACCCCTTGGATGAATATATTTATATTTGTTATTATTAATGGACCAATGATAGAATTATTAAAGGAAATATAAATAATAGATTAAGAAGAAAAGGTGAATTATTATCTAACTATGAACATAGTATGGTGAGGCCAGAAACACTAATAAAATTTGCAAACACTGATGACCTTCATGAAATAGATATTTTGAGGGTGTCCCTTCTTTGGTCAAGGATTATATAGACATGAATAATTAAGAGTCAGTTTCATTATTCTCGGTCAGTGTCAAGTTTGAAGTTTTCCTTTTTGTTAAGAGACGAAGATCCATGTTATGGAAAATTTATGAATTCCTAAAAGATTGAGTAAATTCATTGCGGAAGGCAAGAATCTATGGGGATAAAAATTTTATCATTTTTTTCTGTCCTTCGCTATGGTTTGTTCTTCTCAGAATGGACACATTCGAGCTAACCGAGCATTGTTGCGTGGTAGTGAGCTCTATGACAGCACCTGTAGGACAGAAGCACAGAGACCAATGTGAGTATAGTCAGACTTCTTATCTTTGTTTTAGTGATTTTTTTCAGCACATTTGCTGCATTATTCGAAAATTCCATATCGAATCACAGAGGCTGACTGTAGCTCTGTGATAAATATTGAATTTTAGAAAACATTATATTGATTAATGCATGTATGGAAAACAGGATAATTAATGAAGAATACTGATGTGAGAATAAGTCTATATTCAGTTTAAAGACATAAAGACTCATTTCAGTTTTTGTGAATAATAGGGTTTTAAATTATTCGTGAACCAATGATTTAATCAATATACAAAGAGAATATAATGTAGAGAAGAGGGACAATATTGGATCGATGATGACCACTGGTGGCGTATGAGTCGTGTACGATGAATACGTGGAACTCTGAGGTCCAACAGAAAATTAATCTAATACATTCTCATTATTTGAAGGCATCCAATAGACAGATGTCAGGAATATAGTAAAATCTTGTTTTTGGTCTTAGTGTTCATGCATTTATATGTATCATTACAATTGGGTAAATAAGAGATTCTATAAATAAATACATAAATAAAAATGATGACAGGAGTGAAACATTGTCTAATTATAAAAAGATATGACTAGGCAATAATTAAGACCTAATTTATTAATTTATTATTAATGGTTAATAACTAATACTATTAATATACCATGGAAACCCTGAAGTTCAATTAGAAGCAAGTTGTACATGACTGTAACCTATACAGCTAAGGATGATGTATACGGGATAAGTTACAGACAATGCTCATCGTCTGGGTCAGTGGTAAATTTGAAGTTTGTTTTCTTAAGGGAATAAAATACATACACCAAATTAATGATGGCCCAAATGACTGACTACATGAGAGGGGAAAGGTGAAGACCAATGGAAAGAATGTCTCAAGCTTTCTCATCATTTGCTCTGCCTTATACTCCTCAGAACAGACACACCACACCTGAGTTGAGGATTCTTCCTTGATCATGAACTCTGGGGTTGCATCTCTATTTTAGGCGTTGGAAGACCAATGTGAGTAATAAACAAAATTCTTGACTTGCTTTGGGTGGTGGTGTGTCTGAAGGTATTCACTGCAGTATTAAAAAGATGAAATCTATTCAGATGGTCAGCTGTGTCCTAGTGACAAATATGGGGTTAAAATGAAGTATTACATTGATTAAAGCATTTATGAAAAACTGATAATAAATTTGACAGAAGTGTAATAATGTGGTTATATATATTAGGGTGATCAAGGCCCTTTTGAGTTTTTGTGAATCATACAGTTTTAAAATTATAATTAGTGAATTAATGAAATAATAAACAATGTAGAAATGAATGAAGAGAAAGTGGTCTTTTCTGGATCAATGATGATAACTGCCAGCGTATGAATCATGGATGATGAATGATACGTGTCTGGAACTCTGAGGTCCAACACAAAAGAGATGTGGTCTTTCTTTTCATGCATTTTCATTCTTGATTATAATCGGATCAATAAAATATCAATAAGGAAACATGTAAAAAAGGTGAATTGTAGAAACGTCCAATTTTAAAAATATATGAGGAGGCAAGAAGTTCTATTAATATAATTTGAAAACACTGAAGTCCAAAGAGAAATAAATGGTACATGTCTGTCCCCTCTTTGGCTCAGATGATATAGATAGGACAAATTATAGACAATGTTGATGAAGTTCGAAGTGGTTCATTTTTATAAAAGATAATGAAATGAATATTCTCCAGTAATGATTTCCTAAATGCCTGACTAAATGAAAGATGTAAAGCAGGGGTCAATGGAAGAATGACTCATTTTTTTCTCATGTTCTCTGCTTGGTATTCTTCAGAATGGATGCTCTAGCTGATTTCATCTTCTGCTCTGATCAAGATTGTTATGTTGCTTTTGTATTAGGAGAGTAAAGCAAGGTGAGTAGTAATAGAGGTTCTGTCTTGGTTTCGGTCATTTGTTTAAGGGTATTCACAGTATTATTGAAAATTAATAAATATAATCAAAAAGTAATTTATGGCCCAATGATAAATATGATATGAAACATATTGATTAATTGATAATATGTGACACTGAGATTGATTAATGAGAGAAATATATTCTATGTTGGCAATTATTCTATAGATAGAAGTTAGGAATATTCAAGTTGTTGATTTGTTTTTAACTTTTATTCATTTAGTTGAGAGAGAGAGAAAGTGAGAGAGAGAGAAATAGAGCACAAGAGGGGGGAGGGTCAGAGGGAGAAGCAGACTCCCCGCTGAGCAGGGAGCCCGATCTGGGGCTCCGTCCTGGACTCCAGGATCATGACCTGAGCCGAAGGCAGCTGCTTAACTGACTGAGCCACCCAGGTGCCCTGAAGGTGTTGATTCTTTAGTTTTTGTTAATCATGTATTTTACTGTAATCAATGAATTAATGATTGAATTGATACAGATGTAGAAATGAATGAAAAGAAAGTGGGTCTTCTATCTACCTATGATAATGACTCGTGGCAGATGAGTTTTGGATGATGAATACTATTTATCTAGAATGTTGAGGTCTAATTCACTATATAGTCTTTCTCTCTGTTTATCTGATCCTATGGACAGATGTTTGGAAAGCACAAAGATAATGGTTTTACTGGGTTCATAGATTTAGATTTATTATTACAAATGGATCAAGGATAGAACCATTGAAGAATATGAATATCAGATAAATATAAAATCGTAAAGAATTGTCCAACTGTGAAGACCTGTGTTTAGGCAAGAAATATTAATAAAAATTGCAAACACTGACTGACACCCATCAAGAATTAAATGTATCAAGAGTGTCACTTCTTTAGTCAATGATCATTTAGACATGAACAATTAAGAGTCAATTTTATTGTTCTGGGTCAATCTTAAGTTTGAGGATTTTTGTTATTGTTGTTAAAAGAAAAAAATCAATGTTATGAAATATTCATAGATATCTAAATGAGTAAATGAAATGTGGAAAGCAAGAATCAATGGAAATAAAAGCTTTATTCTATTTTTTTTATCATCGACTGTGCTTTTCATGTTTCAAAATGGACACATTTGAGCCGATTTAAGCATATTCCATGGGGGCGAGCTCAGTGGTTGCATTTCTGTATTAGAAGCACAGAGAACAATGTGAGTAATAATCCAGTTTCTTGTCTTGGTTTCAATGATTATTTTATTCAGTGTATTCAGTATTATTTGAGAGTTCCATGTAGTAGAATCACAGAAGGCCAACAATAGCTCAGTGATAAATATTGAATTTTATAAAACATTATATTGGTTTAATGCATAAATAAATAACAGCATAATTGTAAAAGAGATCTATTGATGTGAGAATGATTCTATTTACAGATTAAGGGTATCATGACTTTTCTTGGGCTTTTGTGAATGATAGGGTTTCAACATTATTACTAGTGATTTAATGAATTAGTCAATAGACAATGTAGAATTGAATGAAGGAAAAGAGGGACAATAATGGATCGATGATGACCACTGGTGGCGTATGAGTCGCGTACGATGAATACGTGTCTGGAACTCTGAGGTCCAACCGAAATGGAATCTGCTTTATTGTCCTGTTTGAGGTGATTCCATAGACAGATATCAAGAATATACAAAGATTTTGGTTTTGGTTCTTATGTTCATGCATTTTCTTCCAATTTTTAGAACTGGATTGATGAAATAATCAATAAACAAACATATAAATAAATAAAGATGAAAGCAGTGAAATCTTGTCCAATTACAAAAGTATGTGGTTAGGTAATGAAGAGTATTAGTGTGTATTTAAAATGCTGATGTCTATAAGGGAATCTGTGGTACGGGACTTGTTCTTTGAGGATGATATGATTGTTGATAAGTAGTAGTCAATGTTCATATTCTTTATTAGCTAGATTGATGCTGTTCATTTGCTGATGAGATAATAAAATATGCATTATTGCAATTCACTGCTTAATAAGTGACTAAATTAAAAATGGGATGGAAGGACCAGTGAACATAATATCTCAATTCTTTTTTTATCTTGCTCTACTGTGTACTCTTCAGAATGGACACACTTTAGCTGATTTAACATCTTCCATTATCCTGAGTTCTATGGTTGCCTCTATAATAGGAGGATGGGGGATTAGTGTAAGTAACAGTTGAAATTATTTTCTTGGTTTATGTGTTTTTTTAAGGTAATTTGCTGTATTATTAAAAACTACACTATATAATGAA